GCCCCCTGACCTTTCATTGTCAGTAAGGTGGGTGCAGCCATGTTGGTCCTACATGTTTCTAATACTGACCCGTGATCAGTGCAATGCGATGTCATAGTTTGGTCGGCAGACTGTGTCAGGTCGTGCAGCACGTGGATCAACATGCAAACAGCTGTTGTTTCAGAGAAGCACCGCGGACAGGCGCTGCATCGTCTGAAGCTCCTCATGCTAACATAAACCCTGCTGCCTTTAAACATGAAGGAATCTGTGAGGTTCACATTATCAACAACTGAAGTCTACCGATGCCAACGATGAGGTTTGTTATCAGCTCTGCTTCAAGTAGAGACAGATTTGTCCTGAATCTGAATCCTCTGCACTTTATCTGACAGCGAGGAACATCGGTGTGACTCATCATCATAATAAACTACGTTTTATTAGGATAACAAGAACTCTGGAAACACTTTCTAACAGGTCACCAAAGGTTAGGGGTCACAAAGTCTCAACTTGTTTTAAAGAATTTGCTTCGATAAGTCAAAATCATCCTGGAGCCAATCGATGGGTCAAATCTGATCACTGATCAATAACCGTTTCTAATGTTCTGTCGGGTCTTCCTGCGTCCCTTCATGTTACGTGTGGTTCTTTAAATCAAAGTGCAGGAAGTCCTGTTGTTTGTTCCGGCGCTGCGGTGAAAGCGTTCGGTTTATTTCTTCCACATCTGCTTCCTGTTTCACTGTTTGAAAGGAACCTCATCGCTGCCACACGGAGCCTTTCAGGCGAGTTATTAGACGCGAATGTGTGTCTAACATGATGAAGTCTTATTAGACGTGATGCCGTGAGACTCTGCAGTATTTCAGAACTCCTCGTGTGCGTTTTGTCAGCCATGTTGCGCTGTGTCAGACGCCACAGAGGGGTAACGGGGGCTTTCAGACTACAGACCTCAGATCCACCCTGACCTCCCTCAGGCTGGGCTGTTGCATCAGCACAGACACGCCCCCGCGGAGTACAGTCGTGCAGGCGGGTCATTGGTACCCAGAGGCGTGCTGATCATTTCATTTCTGCCCACGTCCCTCCGTCCTGTCGAGGTTTTGTTTCTGCTTCTCTGTCACACACATTTCCAAGGTGTTATTCTCTGTGACTCGTGCTTTGACGCTTTCTTCGTGCATCCGTGTGATTAAACTCGTGTTTCTGCAGGCGGCGTCCGTTTGGCCGTTGTTCAGCGTATTGCTGTGCGTGAGCAGCGTCACGTTCGGCTGGCCATTGTTCTCGTCCGTGGCAACCTCGTGGGAGTCGTTAGCTGGACTGGCGGGACTGGCATTGCCACGGCGACGGCAGCAGCAGAGTATCCTGGCGACGGGTCTGAAGACGACTCTGTAGAGGCCGCGGCGGGCGCTTTCGCTGACGAAACAGTAGAGGACTGGGTCGGCCACGCAGTTCAGGGTGGTCAGCAGCAGGGACAGGTGGTAGTAGTTAAATATGGCTGAAAAACAAGAACCGTGTCACCACAGTATTACGGCGCCATCTTTATTTATCGGACGGCTTCCTGCGAGTGAAACGGTACCTTCGATGAAGCTGCATTCCTCCTCCAGCAGCGTGCGCACCAGCAGGAAGACGTGGTAGGGCGAGAAGCAGACGAGGAAGATGAGGATGGTGCTGCTGACTAACTGCCTGATCCTCATCTTCTGATCCGGCTGCGTTCCCGCGCTCCGGCCCACCGCTCGCAGGACCCACAGGTAGCTAATCTAACCGAGACAAAACAAGGCGCCGGGGTTACAGGAGAATCAGGTACTCGTCTACATTTACTGTGTTTGACTCCAGTTTTCAGGGATTTATACTTTAAACCAGCGCCGCGGATAGATTCATCAGAAAAACATGAACAACATTTATTCTCAACAGTGAAGCGAAGAGTTAAAAAACCGTGACATCGAGAAAAGGAAGCGTTTGAATAACCAAATAAGGTCATCGTATATGGTGAGCAGCTGAAAATGTTGAACAACAAATTAACTACAAATATGAAATAACTGAGAACATCGTGAAGATGTGGGATTAACCCAGAGCGGCGGACTCATGGCTGTGGCACCGAGCCAGGAGACGCGTGGCTTCCTGACCATAACCAGCTCTCGTTCTCTACACTTCTTTAAGACCAACGCAGAAATCCTGAAACATACAAAGAACGTGTAAAGCCGTTACCGTACCAACAGAATGGCCAGCGGGAACATGAAGCCGATGCTGATGCGGTAGTAGTTGATTGGACGTTCCCACGACTTCATGGGGTAGTGCTCGAAGCACAGCGAGTGGTTACTGGGATCTTTGCTGAGCTCCTTATGGTGAAAGAAAAACACGCCCACCGCGATCTCCTTCAGCCAGATGATGGCGCTGATGACGGACGCTGCTTTCATGGAGCGCAGAGCCGTGAACCTGCGGGCAGAACGCGTCGTGGTGATTTTACTTCTTCATAAACCCAAAGACGTCCTGATCTCAGCCACGAAAGACGAAACGACGGGAGACCGTCTTACCTCAAAGGATGGACCACAGCCAGATAGCGATCCAGACTGATGCAGCACAGAAAGCCGATACTGATGTAGATGTTCTCGTAGAGCAGGAAACCACACATCTGACACAGCCATTCTCGGTGACGCCAATCATCGTCCTGAAACAGCAACAGCAGACTGAAGGTGGATCAAATAGGACAGGCAGGTGGAGGAACTCCACCCGCGCACGCTGTCAGGGCAGGAGACTGCTAATAATGGCCCAGTTCACCTCCACCTAACACCAACTTAATCCAAGCAGAGCTTTAACACGGCCACAGGTCACATGACTCTGTTAGCGGGACGACGTTAGAGAGATCTGTTAGCACAGTGACATCACAGCAGCCATGTTTTTGGTCACATGATGTCATTAAAAGGGACCAAAAGGCTCCAACAGCACAAACACGGTCCGGTTCAGGTGAAGATAGCAGGCAGCTAGCAGCTACAGCCACCTGTGTCAGCATCCACCTGTCACTCAGAGAGGCCACGCCCCTAAAACGCAAACTTTAAGCCTTAATGTGAGTGACAAACACATCCTCCCTCGTACAGCTGTTATAAAGGAGGAAATGATCTACAGAGACCAAACAGTTTGTGCATAAGGATGTATGCATGTTTATTTCTGCAGGAACGTTTAACTGTGGGAGTCTGTGGGACTGACTCACTGCTGGAGCCCCCAGTGGATCCTAGAGGAACTGCAGCTTGTGGCACTTTTAATGGCACTGAACCTGAAGTCGAGCTCCAACCACAGCCTTCCACTGTGGTGGGCGGACGACACCACGGTGCTGTGCTAACTGTCTGTGATGACACCGACACTTTGACTGAAACCAGAGCGCCTCAGACGCACCGTGAAGAACCGCCGAGGGAAGAGCGAGCGGAGAGGACGTCTCTACGTTACCTGAAAGAAGTACTGGAGCCAGAAAGGCAGAGACGCCAGGTATAGAAGGTCAGACACAGTGAGGTTCATCAGGTAAACGCCCAGCTCGTTCCTCTGCTTCAGCTGAAGGGCAGCGTGGTATAGCGAGTACACGTTGGCAGGAACACCAACCTACAAACACAAGATCATTCACCATCCAGCACATGGAGATCCTGGAGCACCGTTTATCAGCACTCGGGAAATACTTCCGAAAAGCTAAGATACTTCCATCACTCACCATGAGCACCAGGATATAGACGCAGGAGAACACATGCTGGTGGATCCCATGGTTGATGCTGCAGTTGCTCATGTCTTCTTCAGACTTGTTGATCACCATCATACTGCCGCTCACACTGTTTCACCCTGACTCGTTCATCTGTCCAGAGCACGCGTGCTGCTCGGCGCTCTGTGTGGTGGATTAACCCGCTCTTGTCTCATCGGGCCTCTGATTGGACGGTTTGCTCTGTGGAAGAGGAGACAGTATAGCTTAGTCCAGATTAGACACACCCCCCTGCAGGTGAGCAGAGAGAGGTTAAAGAAGTAAATATGATCTCGTTTCTGTCTTTAAATTGAATGTGTGATGTTAATCCCACAGACATTTTCTCAGGTCATCCACACGCACGCTAACCCTCTGAGGTGCAGCCCTCAGGCTGAAATAGATTGTGATGTGCGGTTGGAACGCGCAGACTTCCTGTCCAAACCTGACAGCTAGCTTGGTTACAGGCTGAGCTCAGGTTTGAAATCCAGCAGGTGGAGACACTGAGCAGCTCTACAGTCCTCAGTTTGCACCCAGAGCGCCGCGCTGATGCGCTCCTGTAGGGTACCTGGAAATGTGCAGCATGTAGCCAATAATTTAAAACGCCAGCCCGTGCTGACCCACGAGACTTTCTGAAGCATTTCTGTGAGCGCGCTCAGTGCTGCTCCTCTGACAAGAGTCATGAGAGCATCGGACGACGAGCACGTTGCTCTGGGAACTTCCTGTTTGTATCTTTTGCTGTTTTCCCTTATCTAATGCTGAAATGATGAGTAATCTGTGCACAGATATGAAGACATGGTTCTGCGTCACATCATCTCAAACCAACATTTTCTCATTTTTAAAGTTGCATCCTCTGTTTTTCTGCAGCTGTTTGAAATGAATATGTGAGAAACTTGAAGCCCAGCGTCTGAAACGTTCCCTTCCTCGGCCTGAATCAGCATCTGTAATTTGGGACAGAGACGTTAAAACTGTCCTCCAGCAGCAACTTCCTGTTGTGGTGTGGCACGTCGCACATTAAAAACAGCCTGTTTCTCTGCGGTTAGCACTGACATCTCACAGTGACGTGGTTCCTAGTTTGAATCCCCCGGCCTCTCTCTCTGTGTCTGCGTGGGTTCTCAGACTTAGTCCCACTCATGACATGAGGTTGGCGGGGGACTGCCTGCAGGTGTGGGCTGGTGTTAAATCTAAAAACACACTGATGCTGTTTCACATGTATTATTATTATTATTATTTAAAGCTTGTGTGGTGCTGGAAAAACGTTTCTCAGCATGTTGTCTCTGTCCTGGGTTCGTACACAGAAGCTAACGTGAACACAGGCCTCAGCTTCATTGGAACGGCCGCAGTCAGAAAATCGTAACAAGGATTTTTGACTGTCTTAAAGAAAGAGACGAATTTACTGAGACAAACACCTGAACTGCTCGGTCGTCCTCTCAGATCTCTGCACGTCCTCACACCACAGATTTAAAATCCTTTTACAAAGCAGCGACTTACAGTGAGATGAAATCTGTGCCCCCACAGCTCAGACAACACACAGCGACCCAGCTTTCAGTTTTTAGGCTCCTCACCTGTGGAGCAAACGTCCTGAACACCTAAGATCAGCCCAAACTGCCCAAAATCCTTTGTGCTTCACATCGTGACACTTGTGAGATGTGTCGCTGTGTCTGCTGTGCTGCTGGCTGGAGTCTGAAACACCAGCAGAGACATCAGCCCCGAGTCACCGCTGACAAACGACCGCCAACAGAGCCGCGCAGCATCACAACAACCACGATATGCTTTATTCTTACAGACGACGAACCCCAGGATCTGCTGCTCGCTGCAGGGGACTCGCTCCGAATCAACCTTCACGTGTTCACACTGACAAACTTCATCAGCCTGAACATGTCTGGTGGTTACACACACACTCTCTCTCACACACACACACACACACTCCTCTTGCCTATGGTACGACAACTTTTCTCTGTGCATCTGGTACACTGCGCAGGAGCACTTTGCCCCACACACACACACACGCAGACACACACACACACACACACGGAGCAGGAGCCACTCGTTGTGACACGCGGCAGAAAAATAACTGCATTGAGAAACTACTTCCTCTGGTCAGTTTCTTTGGCTGCTGTCTGCAAACTCCTGCTGTGACTAACAGCAATGATAACACTGGTACTCTTACACTGACTCTACTATAACAAAGCTTTTACAAACGCTGATCACAGCCTCACAGTAACCTGCAGACATCCACACACCCACGGCTGGTGTCTTTCGTCACACTAAAAGCGCACCACCACCCCTCTGTCGTCGGTCTCACCCTCGGCAGCCGTGCTACATCCTCTCCATCCTGCAGTCTCAGTAATAACCGCGGCACCGGGTGCTCAGATATTTGTGAGCGTGCGTATCAGCCAGCAGGAGGAAGTGGACTCGAAGGGAGACTCCTCCCATCCTCAGACATAAACAGAGGGGGTGAGAAGAGGCTGCAGTCAAAGACAGGTCCCCTTTATTAACACGCAGTAAAGCCAGTCAAACACAAATATGATCGCTGTCTCCAGAGGCCCAGGATGTGATGGCGATGGCTGCAGCATTTCAGGCCATCCGGGTGCTGAGGCCCCTTAAAGTCTCCTCTCTCACCTCGTCAGGCACGTCCTGAAACCTCCGCCCGACCCCCACCTCTCAAATCTGAATTTCTCTATATCGGGAAACATGAGCAACACCGGGTTTCCCCTGCACGCCGCAGGGCTTTGTGCCAAACGTCAACTTTTCTTCTGTAACTGTGATGGGACAGCGTGTCCATGTTTCATATCCACCCACGACGCAGATGTGTCAAAATACTAAGAAACCAATGGCCCACATGTTAATGCAGATGTGGGACTTTTCTGTCCAAACGAGTTCAATAAAAAGCTCAGCGACACTGACTCAAGAGCTCCTCATTAAAGGCTCATCGTCTACTGAAACACCTGTTTAAACACTGATAGATCTACTGACTGAGCACGCCGCGGTCACGGCGAGGTCACGCCAAGCACGCCGCAGTCACGCAGAGCATATTTTTATTCCAGAACCCGTTAAACTGAGTGTCCAGTGAGGTTACTGCCAGACTCTGAGAAAAGAAGAAAGAAACGAGCTTCATTGGTCACGTACACAATCATACAGAGCACAACATGCAGTGAAATGTGTCGTGTCCGAGCTGCAGACAGGCCGCAGATGTAGCCGCGCCATGTCAGGGCTTGGTGGGCCTAGCCAGGACCCTTACTGGATACTGGGAGGGAATCAAACTTGCGACTTCCACTCCAAAGCTGTGTGGTCTTACCACTACGCTAAGAAGGGCGACGTGTTTCGATACGTTTCTGCGAATGTTTGATGAAATCTGATTGGTGAGCTAATCCAGGCGCTCCGTGTGGCCGCTCATACTTCCTCAGTTCTCAGGCTCTGTCACTGTGTGAAATCTCTAATGGTTGAGAAACGCACGTCAGTCCTGCTTCATGCTATGATGACATGAACGGCACATAGATGAAAGTAAACCTGTGAAGTTCTCCCTGGTTAACGTGTTGCAGGTCGAATGACGTACTCTTTGCAAAACAGAGCTCAGGTTGATTTGAACCCAGAACAGAAGCTGGTTCAGAAAAAGAGGAAAAAGGTGTTTGTGCGAGCAGAGGCGAGACAGCGTTTCCAGGGTGGTAGAAATGCTCCACTGCCTTCAGGACTGAGAACAGATGCAGCTTCCTGTCGTGAAGCCCGGATTCAGATGGAATCCACACAAACTTCCTGTTCACCAAACGTCTTGTCTGCACTAGACTCGCTGTGGTTCTGCCTCGGCCCGTCCTTTGCGAGCCGCTCTTTAAACTACAGAAACCAGCAAAGAGTCCTGACTTCTTTGTCTCTGATGTTCTAGATGGAAAGTTGCTTCATTGTCCTGGTGGATTTGACTGCTGTTCTTCCGCCAGCATAATCCTGCTCTCAGCAGCGCTCCGCTTTATGCCAGTTTGTTTTTCAGAGTCGTAACAGAGTTGGTCACCTCAGTCAGCGATCGTCACTCAAGTCGGTCTGCCTTCAGCTTTTGTTGCTCGTCGAGTTCCTCTGCTTGTTGTTGTTTTTAGGAGTACAGATATTCCAGTCCTCCAGTGTGGGTGACTTTGACACAGCTCACTGTGTTGTGTCTAGCGGAGGTTTTACGTACAGACCCTCCAAACCTGCAGAGATGGGCTGCTGTGCCCCATGCACCGCAGTGACAGCAAACCTCAGTCAAGCACAGCATCAGTGAAAACAAAGGGTCAGTGTGACTCAGTCCTTTCAAATAATGCCATGAAACACGTGTGCACATCCGCCTATGTGTGCAGGAACTGTAGGCGTGCAGCTTGTTGTCAGCCTCCATGTCTCAGGTTTATCCCTCCATATGAAGCGGTGTTTTTATGTCTCGTGTGCAGCAGAGGCCGGGTTTCCTCGCCGAGCTGAAGGTCACATCGTGTGAAGGAAGACTTGTTTTTGTGTTGGTTGGAGCGAGCGTCTAAATGGAGCGATGGTGACAGTCAGCGTAACCTCTAACTATATCTGTTAGCTTTGGCATGGCGGCGTCTTTGCAGCGACTCCTTAATAACACGCTGCGAAACGTTTAGAGCCGCAGCAGGCCGCACTCTGAAACCACGGCTATCATCTCGCTACATCCGTCCTCTCCGGTTTAAATCAGTCAGATTAAGGAACAGCCGGATGTGCACAACATTCCCGGAGAGTCGAGCCGAGCTTTGAGACACACGCAGCCATCCTGCATGCTCCATCCGAACACTGAGAAGGCCGTCTGATACGCGAGCGGCACCTGCATGGGTCACCTTTTTCCTCTCAGCTCACGGACAGCTGACGGTTTCCCGCCACACACACTGCTCTGATTGGTCACCAACTCAAATTCAAACCCTCGCCAGCAGGCTCAGCGTGTCAGAGACGAACCATTTGACCAGAGAGCTTCACAGAGCACCGACTCGGGGTTAAAACTGCAGGAACACATCCACGCCGAGATCACCATGGTAACAGATGACTCTGTGATCAGTCACCTGATGGTGGTAACCATGGCGGCAGCAGGAAGTGGTAAATTAGACCCCGCGAGCGTCCTGTCAGTGTTTGCTTCATCCTCAGAGTGCTGTGCCACAGAGCTCATCCTCGTCATCGTCGGCTCTGATTGGCTGAGACGGGTTTGTAAAATAAGCACGTTAACGATGCATAATAAACAGGACGGCTAATAACTGTGACATAAACACATTTCCTCCAAATCACAGGATGTTTGTGTTTGCTTTAGCCTATCGTGAGAAGTTCTGTCAGCGCACAGCGGCGTGTGAGCTCACATCAATGCGCCTGCAGTGCTGCTCGCTTCACGGGGCAGATTCATGTGAAGCTGCTGTGACACGACTGCTCGGCACGAAGCACAGCTGTTCCCATGCCGGACGTCGGTCTGCACATGAACTATTAAAAATGAGGTTAAATGGTTAAAGTGGACTCTGAGCTAGTTTAAAGAGTTAATCCCGAGTTAAACACATTAAAGCCTCACAGAAATCCAGAAGACGGTGAAGTCAGACTCATCAGGCGTAAAATCATCCCGGTTAATCTTACTCAGAAACCACAGACTGTATAGAGAAGAGGGAGGATGTGGAGCTTCAGTATCAGAGATGTTTAAAGCTTTTTACTCACACTCTGAGCTCATTGTTATAAACATGTTTGATATTATTAAGCTGTGATGTAACATCAGCAGGGGGCAGGAAGTATCCAGTCAAAACCTTCTCATTGTGTTTCCTGTGGATGAACGTATGAGCTGTACCAGTACGTGCAGAGTTTCACAATAAAAGACCGTTTGCACTGACACTTAAAACCTCCGTCCCAGTGTCAGCCACGCCCACAGTCACTGGAACCAGGTAGAACCACAGGGAGCATGTGCAGCTGATCAGGAGATTTGAACCACGAACCTTGATGTGAGGTGACAGTGCTGAGTTAGCGTGTCAGGACGATGCTCCTCCCTCTCTGATGCGTTCACCTGGCGGTCACGACTGCTTGCGTTTTCCTCCAAATTCAGAATGTCGTACAGTCTGAAAACGTTGCGTGCAGTCAAATCGTGACTGCTGTCGCAGCACAGTCTGTGTTCATCATTAAAAGTTAACGATTTCAAGCGCGTGCGGCGTCACTGTGGTCCCGTCTCTCTGCCGTATCTCACGGCGAGCTAAGGACTTTGGGTCAGAGAGACAAAAAAAAGTCCAGAGACTGCAAAATGTGGCCAGATGCAGTCGGACGTCGTGATATTTTTGGCTGTTTCTGACATACTATTTGGGACATACTAAATCTTTTTCTGGGTTAGTGGAATGCAGCCTTCGCGAGGAAACACAAACTCAGCTGGTTGCGGCTCAAAAACCCTGCTGTGCTTCAGTGCGTCGACAGATACAACAGCCTCAGGTACAGTAACCCCACTGGCTTCTCACTGGGAACAAATCTCATTTTTCTCCACGAGTCACCAGGGTTGTGAAAGCCACCAAAGCTGAAACACTTCAAAATAAAAGGTTTGAAATTTCAAAATAAAAGTTTTTTTGTTCAGCTGCGGTGGAAATGAGTTTCCTCCGGAGGGTGGCTGGCCTCTCCCTTAGAGATAAGGTGAGTAGTTCAGCCATCCGGGAGGGGCTCAGAGTAGAGCTGCTGCTCCTCCACATCGAAAGGAGCCAGCTGAGGTGGTTCGGGCAGCTGACAAGGATGCCTCCTTGGCGTGTTCCTGGGTGAGGTGTTCCGGGCATGTCCCACCGGGAGGAGGCCCCGGGGCAGACCCAGGACACGCTGGAGAGATTACATCTCTCGGCTGGTCTGGGAACGCCTTGGTGTTCCCCCGGATAAGCTGGAGGAGGTGGCTGGGGAGAGGGAGGTCTGGGCTTCTCTGCTTAGGCTGCTGCCCCCGCGACCCGGCCTCGGATAAAGCAGAAGAAGATGGATGGATATTGGGTTTTTTTGTTCCAAGTTTTCATGAAGCTCAGAGGAGGAGCAGCCCCACGAGCTGAAGGCTCAGCCACACATCCTGTTAGAAACACTCAGAACTCATTCTAGTAAAACTGCTTCAGTCCACCCACAGCTGCAAGCTGCTTTGCAACCCACCTGCTCCTCTCCTGCTTTTTCTGAATCAGACGGTTCAGACTCGAATCACAAAACTCACAGAACCAAACCTAATAAGGATGACCGCCGCGATCCTGCCTGAGTTTGAATATAACAGCAGCATCATTAATTAATCATAAACTGATCACTGATTAAACCATTACCTGTTTCATTAACGATCAAAAGGAATTCATTCTGTGATGTTATTTCCTGTTTTATTTTGGTGATTGGACTTCCTCGCACTTCTTGTCTTTATCAGCTTTCCTCCTCTGTTATTGGCTGCCCCTCGCTGATATTTTTCCTCCTCTCCTCCTCAGACCACTATGAAGCGGGGGCTGGGCTGCCACCCTCTGACCAATCACAAACATGGATAAATGTCCCGACAGCGGAGTTTATAAAGGACAGAGTGCGACTGTGCAGATGTTAAACCCAGACTGGACGTGCGACAGCAGAGGGAGTGTGTGTGTTAGCCGCGCTGAGTGAAAATC